CAAGAGCCTTGCCCAGTATTTAGCCTGCAAAACCAGACACAAAGAACTTTGCACACCCTCAGATTATTCCTGCTCCCTATGACCCACAACCTTGCCCCGTAGCAGTGAACGCTCTTACCTGTGCATTCGCTGGCCCGCTGGTGGCATTTTTATTGTTTCCAGAAGCAGCAGCGTTGGCCTTGCTAATGCTGGCCAGCGCTTGGCGGGCTTTCTCCCATTCGGGGTTCTCATGCATTGGGCCTTCCATCCCGTTCTCCCTGGCGTTCCCATTACCCAGGCTGTACTGGGTAGCCCTGTAGGGTAGAAGAGTAGATATCTAACTCCAGATTCAGTTATTACCACAAGCTCTTTTATTACTTTCATCATTAATATAACGCTGAATTTGTATACGACTTTCCAATCTGCCCTCATGGACAACCCATAAGCACATCACTATTTGTCTTGTGATACAGGAATGACCACTCAAGGCCATCCAATGAGTCAGTCTGAGCAAGCAGGATTTGAACCCAGGCCCACATTCAGCACTATACTTCTGTTATCTGAGACACTGAATCATCACTTCAGTTCTCTCTGCGTGCACAACAAGGACATACGCATCCTACCCTGAAAGCTCCCGTTTCAGCTAAAGCTTCCAAGACCATGCAAATGATCCAGCTTGAGAAACCCCGGCATGCCACTGCAGACCAAGGGAGTTAGCTTCCTATGGAATGTTCCCTCCACATTTTAAGTTTCCCCCAGCCTCATAAACACCAGCAATTAGGCAACGGCTAGCCAAGCCTCTTGTAACATTACAGCTCCTGAATAAACAGGAAGGCCCTGACAGCAGAGGGCAGGAGGAGCCAGACCATTCAATCACTCCTAAGGATAATAGAAGGCCAGTGTGACATCATAGACAGTCAACTGAGTCAGAACAGGCAAAGAGATCAGATGCCCAGGACAGGATCAAGTCTAAATAATTGTGTTTAGAGTTATCCATCCAGAAGTGCCCTGAAATTTCCCTTCTGATGCTCCTGTGCTCCCCTGCTCTTAGATTTCAGCTACTTTACTCTCTGCCTCAGAAATAATCAGTCTAATTTTTTCCATTTGCATGACAGCTCTTCCACAATTCCCACCATGCAATTAAGACTATAAAACCTACCAGACCCACAAATTTTACTAGCCCTTTCCTAGCCCATCATATATCTGTCACATGTGGCCTAAGCTGGGGATGGGGGCAGACAGAGAGAAAAGAACCACCCAGTGACTGTAGCATGTCCCTGTTTGGTCACTCGGAGGCAATTCTTACCCACCACATAACCAAATAAAGAGCTATTCTGAACACAACTTTGGGGTCTAAACATGGTCCTTTGTTCAGAAAAATGCTTTGTATCTTCCTGTGATATCTGATACCTCCAAGCTATTCTCAGCCTTCACCTCTTTAGCTCAATCTCTCCACCCACTCTTCCCTCAGTAGCCTCTTGCAATGGTTCCTCATAAGAATCTGCCCACAAGGAGGTAAAAGAACTTTTGTCACCAAGCCTTGTGCAAACGTTACTTATGACTGATGAAAATTCCTTCCTTCCTTATGTATTTTGCAGATGTGATAATTTAAGCTGACTGTGCAAACGTTCCCTTATGACTGATGAAACTTCCTTACGTATTTTGCAGATGTGATAATTTAAGCTGATACAACATTTGCTCAAACAAGAGAGGATGAGGGGAGGAAAAGAGAAGAATGGATATTACACATTGGTAAGCACTATTCACCTGACCTCATCTTCTTGAAAACTTGGTGGGCAACCAGCTAAACTGTACAAGATCAGCAAGCTGGTAAAAACAAGCATTATAATGACACTAGAGAAAACACTGATCTCAAGAAGAATGCTTAGCTTTGGGTAAGATCACACCTTAACTCCACTACTCTTTTTAAAATGGTGTACTTTACCACTAGTCCTATCTTTATTACATTTGTATTTGCTCAGTGATTGAAATTTAGCTACTTTTGAAACGTGTGTGAGAGACACCTCTCTAACACAGAACATCAACTCGTACACAAACCCAGACAGGAGCTAATACCAGCATGTTTGCATTACCTGTAATATATAAGAACCTGAATAATTTTCCAGGTCTCTCATTCCGTGGGACTAAGTATGTCTTGATCAGACTCAACCTTCACTCAAAACACTACTATATTTACAAGAGACTCTATAATACAGGATTCTCCACCCTACATAAAGTCCTTCATCTCATATTACAACAACAAAGTCCAAACAAACTGCTCACCAGGACATTTACCAACATTCCTCCTTTAGCCAACCTTCTAACTAGACAGCCACTTGCAAGAGAATTTCAAACCAATTAATTTCTGTGCTAGAAACCCAAGACTTTTTCATAGACAGACTCAGAGAGCAAGTATGTTGTTCCACAAATTCCTACCCTTTCAAAGTAAGAGAGGCAGTGAGTGTCCAATCAATGCTGTGTGCTATAACCAAGGAGATTTCAGTTCAAATAAATTCAGCCAAATACTCAAGTGATTAGAGAAGAGATTAGGATTAAAATGTTTTGGCTAGTTTTCCAGACTTAAATTGTAAAGTCAATTTTGTAGCAATGCTTGTGGGACTCTTGAACAAACACTCTCAAAATCCAGTCATGCAGGATTTCGCAACACAGGATAAACAAGGCCCAAAGTCTCCTTTGTAAAAAAAGGGGAAAAAAGAACCCTATCTGTTGCAACTGAACAGTTCCAGGCTTTTATTTACCAGCTGCAGGCTTGATCTCTTAATCTCCAAGGTCACAAACAGTTTCTGCCCTGAGAGTTGTGCATACAATTCTATCTACGTAACTAATTTTTGAAAATGGTTTAGTTAGTCCCCCCCCCCTTTCAGTACCCAGATCTTTCTGTCACTCCCCCTTCCAACTGTGATTCTCTCGCCTGTCGTGATTAGTTAAAAACTCAAATTGCCACCTGGCTTTAGAGTGTCACCCCACTCCTCCCACTGGGCAACATCTATCAAAACATCAACCCACACAACCCCATATAATTAAGACAGCTGCAATCACCATTCCGAGGCACGCTGGTCCCCTATGTTGGTAGCCATCGAGCTGTGGATTTCCAAACGGGCGACACCAATGCCCCGGAGAGCCTCTTGGGGGGGGGGGGGAGGGCCCTCCCTCGGCACAACTTGGGTTTTCCTTTACTCTTCCGCCGGCAGAGCTCAAACAAAGGAAGTTAACTGGGCAAGACGCGCGTCACACTCTCTGCAGGAAGGCAGTGCCCACTTGTAGGAATGCCCCTTTGCCCGAAATGCAATTCGAGGGCCTCGGGGGCCCAGATTCCTCAGCGGGACCGGGCAGCGCTGGCCAGGAGCGGATCCCTCTTCTTGACGCCTTCCAAGAGGAGGAACCACAAGAGCAGCAGCTACGCGCTCTTGCCCTCCCCTCCCCTCCCGCTTCCCAGGACCTTTTAGCCTTTGCAGCCCGCTTTTTTTGGGTCTGCTACAGCCAGAGCCTTTTACTACAATCCCCTTGTGGAGACACTGAGCGCCCTCACCCCTGACACATGAGCCTCCTAGGCAGCCCTTTGCGCAGAGGCGGGGGCCCACCCCCACCCACCCCCACTCCTAGACACCCCCCTGCCTTCCCCTCTCACAGCTCCCGCCCGGGAGAAAACACTTGGCTACTCCTCTCCCCCCCTCCGCCTAACAAAGCAGCGACTCTCTCGGCCTCAGCTTCGCGACGGCGGCGACGACACAAAACGGCCGGCCCGTTTTTGGCGCCGCGGTCGGAAACGGGCCGCGAGATCCGCCCGCTCCCCGAGGACGCCTCTCGCTCCCCAAGATGGCGCCTGCCGACTCTCTTGCCCGCTCCGTCTGTCTGCCTCTCAGCCCGCCGCCTTCCTTCCGGTGGCCGAGGAGGGAGGGGGAGGGGAACGGACCGCGCAGACGCGCGCCGTGACGGCACAAAGCGGAAACGGCCTGAGACAGACCGCGAGTCCCACCCACCGGCACCAGCCGTCAATCAGTCAGTCAAACCGAAGCGCGCCACCGCGCCGCCTTGGCTCTCGGAGGTCTCCGGGGTTGAAGCTCGCCTCTGCCACCGCTGTCTGTCTCCGCCTCAGCCCACCCCCGCCCAGTGCATCCCGTTATGAGGGGGGGGGGGGGAAGGAACTGGCCTTCCTTACGGGGCTGCTGTAAGGACTGTCGCCGTGATTATGTGGACGGCATTGATTACCGAGCACTATACATGAATAAAGGCCTGCGGTGGCTCGAGTGGTTAAGACGCTGAACTGCAGGCTGTGGGAGGTCGGTAGTTCAGCAGTTTGAGACCCGGGTGTGCCGCATGACGGAGTGAGCTCCCGTCTCTAGTTCCAGCGCCTGCCAACCTAGCAGTTCGAAAGCAAGAAATTGCAAGTAGATAAATAGGGACCACTTTGGTGGGAAGGTAACAGCGTTCCGTGCGCCTTGGTGTTTAGTCACGCCGGCCACATGACCACGGAAACGTCTTTGGACAGCGCTGGCTCTTCGGCTTGGAAACGGAGATGAGCGCCGCAACCCTAGAGTCGGCTTCCACTGGCTTTCAAGCAAGGGAAACCTTTACCTTATACTTGAATAATACTGATCTATTAAGTATTGGAACAAATCTGAGTCCTCTAGCACCTTTATGACCAACAATGTTGACAAATGTGTGCTTTGCATGTGAAAGCTTACCCTTTGATTAAACCTTTGTTGGCCTTAAAGATGCCACTTTGTTCTGCTGCTTCAGACCAACGCAACTACCCTCCTGAATATTAAGTATTGATTATATCATAATTCTATTATTTATTCTCAATAAGATGTCACTCTGCCATTGAAACCAAAACTAGTGTTGCAGGTAGGGCTGCCAGTCTCCAGTTGGAGCCAGGACGTCTCCCAGAATGACAACTGGTTCCCAGAACAAAGTTTGAGTCCTGTGGCACCTTTAAGACCAACAAAGTTTTAGTCACCGTATAAGCTTTCTTGTGCAAGCACACTTTGTCAGTTTCCCTGGAGAAAATGGCTGCTTTGGAGGCTGGAGTCTCTGGCATTATACCCTGCTGTGGTATTCCCCCCTTCCCAAGCCCCTCCTCACTAGGCTTCACTCCCCAAATCTCCAGGGATTTCCCAACCCATAGCTGGCAACCCTAGTTGCAGAACATAAGGATCATCCCTGCTGGATCAGACTAGTGGTCCATCTAGTCCAGCATCCTGTCTCACACCAATGGCCAACCAGTTTCTCTGGACGGCCGACGACAGGGCATAGAAACCTTCCCCTGATGTTGCCCCCTGGCTCTGGGATACAGAGGTTTACTGCCTCTGAATGTGGAGGTTCCCCTTAGTCACCATGGCTAGTAGCCATGAATCTATTTGATCCCCTTTTAAAGCTGTTTATACCTGTGGCCATCAATACATTCTCTAGCAGCGAGTTTCACATTTTAATCACTTGCTGTGTAAAGACATATTTCCTTTTATCCTCCCTGAATCTACTGCTAGAGCTGCTGGAAGGCTGAACTGTAAATCAGAAAATCCCTTGGCTCAGTTTTCTAGCAACAATACAATACCAGCTCTGGTTTAATTCATAGTATGATACACAACACAAATAATACTGTTATTGTTATGCATTCCAATCTCACCTTTACCATGAATTTACTAAACGGCCTTTGGCAAGCCACTCTTTTGTGGCCTCAGCTTCCCCTTCAACGTGGGGAGGATAATACTGGCCTGCCTTGAAGGGCCGTTGTAAAGATTAAGACAAGGTAATGCATGGAACTTTGACAGCTTGAAAATGCTGTTTAAATGTGATTAATGAGTCTTGTAGTTAAGAGGAAAGAGGCAGTGGTAAATATAGTCCACAGGGAAGAGCTGCCAGGTAATAGCACCAGATGCAAAGATTCAGTTTGATTGTAGAAGAGCTTGGAGACCAACAAAATATTCGGGGTGTGAGCTTTTTAAAATAAAAGTTGCCCTTTGTCAGATATGAATCTAGCTGTTCTGCTTTAGACCACTCGGCAACTTTATGAAAGAAGGTGGCGGTTGAGCAGCAATTAGCATACAACATAGTGAAGATGTTTATCAGATGCAAGGACCAAACAAGAATAACAAGCTTAGTTTATATGGTCACCATTTGTTTGGATTTGATTCCGGGGGTGGGGGTGGGTGGGGACATAGTGAAGCAAAAATATACATCAGAATTGGAGACTGATGTGTAAATGTACCCTTCTGAATTGTGGAATGCTGAGAGCAATTAACTGAGACCCTGTTACGCTCCATACTATTCATTGCATTACATTACAACCACTATTCCAGTCCACTATTCCAAATAAGAAATACACTACAATCAAGAGGATGTATAGCCCTTCTTGTTGAGAATACAGATGCAAGCTTAAATCTTGAATAAAACTTCGTTGGTCTTAGAGGTGCCACTGGACTCGGATTTTGTTCTGTTGCTTAAGACCAACATGGCTACCCACCTGAATCTATGCAAAACTGAATTGTTCCAGAGGGCTCTTCTGCGCAGGCATTAGGATAGCACTGAACAACATTATCCACAAAATTACATGGATAAATTATTAGGGACTGTGGTCTATACTACTGGGTATAGTTGGCTGTAAGTCGGATCCTGCTATCTAATTTTGCATCATTTAATGTGTCATGCTCTGCTTCAGTTCCGGTTTTTAGATTTCTGGTTGGTTCTACAACCCTAATCGTATTGCATTGTTTATTGAATGTCCCATCCTGTTGATTGTCTTGACCAGGGGTCGTTTTGCAGAAAAAGAGCTAGGGGAACTCATTAGCATAACTCATTAGCATATGCCACCCCCCCTGACATAATAAGGCCCGGCGGTGGACCTGCAAGGCCGGCGGGAGTGCGAGGAAGCCCCGCCAAGGCCCTCCCTGGCCCCGGGCAGGCAGGGGTGGGGAGAGGCAGGGAGGAAGCACCCTCCCTCTTCTCCTGCCTCCTCCTGGCTGAATGAGGGCCGGAAGCGGGGCGGTCGGAAGCAGGGGGTGGGGCTTCGTCATGTGCCCCGCCCCCCGCACCTCACCCGGGGGAACTGCGATCCCCCACGATCCTCCCCGAATCGACCTCTGGTCTTGACTCACTTCGTGGAATCCACCTTGAGTCCCAATGAGAAAGGCAGATGCCACCAAATGCGGAACTCAGCCAATCAAATAGAAGAAGGCAGGCGGCACCAGACAAATAGTTTAGTTTAGAACAGGTTACTCAGAGTCCTGTGCAGGTCTATGCAGTGAGGCTTACTCCCAGACAAATGTCCTTAGGATTGTCCTGGGAATCACTAGTCCTTGTTGCTGATTCGTATGTATGTCGATGTTATGGTTACTGTATATTTTAATTATTTATCACTCCCTAGGTGCTCATCAAGCTGAGATGGCAAGATATAAATACGTTTCATTTTAATAATTGATAAAATAATAAATATATTGATTATATTGTATATATTGATAACAATGGCATAAAGTATATTGATAACTATGTATATATTGATAACTATGGCATAAAGTATTAACAGTAGTTTCTAAAAGTAATAATACAAATAAAAGGTTTATATAATTCATCTCCATTTCTAAAATTGAACCAGTTTTCCACTCTAACTTGCAATGCAAAATATTACAGGGCGGAAATTATCATAGAGAGACAATGGAAATAGAGCCACTCCTCTCTATACCTAAGACAACTGCAGTCAATGGCCAATTTTCATTCTTACCGGAAATCTAGGCTGTGCGTGACAGTTTTTTTAAAAAAATCTCTATGTATTTTAAATGGACTTATTTAAGATGCCAAATAGGTAAAGGTAAAGGTTCCCTTGCTCGAAAGCCAGTCGAATTCGACTCTAGGGTTGCGGTGCTCATCTCCGTTTCCAAGCCGAAGAGCCAGCGCTGTCCGAAGACATTTCCGTGGTCATGTGGCCGGCATGACTAAACACCAAGGTGCACGGAACGCTGTTACCTTCCCACCAAAGCGGTACCTATTTATCTACTTGAAATTTCTTGCTTTCGAACTGCTGGGTTGGCAGGAGCTGGAACTAGAGACGGGAGCTCACTCCATCATGCGGCACCCGGGTCTCGAACTGCTGAACTACTGACCTTCCACAGCCTGCAGCTCAGCGTCTTAACCACTTGAGCCACCGCAGCTCCAAGATGCCAAATAGACCCTCCCTTTTTGACTGGCAGAATGGAATGATAAACAGAGGGCTTACAGCTGATGATGCATGAACACCGCTCATTGGTAAAGGTTTGAAAGGAGGCCTAGGAGGGCATGACAGAGAGAAAAAGCAGAGTGCACTTCATGACAAAATGAAGAGCACATTTTTTACAGGGGCATGGGAAGACCGAACTAAAAAAACAGACCATAAGAAGTGCATTTCAGGGCATATACATTTGGAGAATGTTAATATCCAGCAGTTAACCACCAATATCAAGGAAAGCGTTGAACTTGCCAGCATATATCTCTTCTGCCCTGAGTCCTCTTGTCTGTGTGAGTGGCAGAAATTCATCTGGTATATCCCGCATTCTGCCCTGGGACATGGGAAGTACTCTTGGGCAGACTGTCTTTCCCTCAACAATGAATAAATGCAACTAGTCTGCGCATACATACGGCTGGCCTGCCGCACAGTAATTGCAATACTAAAACAAAAGTTATGGGTCGTCCTTCAGGTCTGTGAGAAATAAATTGTTCCCAAACTACCAAGAATTGGGTTTTTTTTTAATTAGGACCTCCCCTGTCTGGTTTTCAGCTGAACATCCAACCTCGTCACTGTCACTGCCTTGTGACAACATAGTAGCTATTAAACTGCTGCTGTTGTTCTTCAGAGAACAAGTCATTATGGTTTAATGTCGCCTCAGATCTGTCAGCTGGGAAGCAACCGGAAGTTTCAAGTGCAATCCTGGGCGAGTATAGCCCCACTGAATAAAGTGAGACTTGCTCCTGAATAGACCGACCTTGGACTGCTCCCTTCGGCAGCCCAGGCTATAGATTTGCTCCCCCCCCCCTTCTGCAGGGGATTAGGGGAAGGAAGGCAGCATGGTATAGGGAAGCTTAGCAGTAGGGGGTCATTTCCTGCGGGAGCGCACAGGAGCGGAGGTCCGGCAGTAAAGAGCCCAGGGGGCGGGCACATGCAACAAGCCCCACCCCCTGCTCCCAGCAGCCCTCAGTCAGAGCAAGAAGCTAATGAGTTATGCCAATGAGCTCCTGCACCTCTTTTTCAACGAAATGACCCCTGTGTTTATCCAATTCCCTCCTGAAGCCGTCCACGCTTGTGCAGTGAATTCCATGTGTTAATCACTCTCTGGGTGAAGAAGGACTGGTCCTCAGCAGCACAGGAATTGTCCAGCACCGCCTTCAGGGCCTCTGACTCTGATGCATCAGGACATACCTGGAGATCCAGGGGTGGAACCAGGGGAGTGTCAGGGGTGTGTGGCATATATGCAAATAGGTTATGCTAATGAGTTATGCTAATGAGCTCCTGCACCTCTTTTTCTACAAAATGACCCCTGCTTAGCAGGGTCGGTACTCGGAAGGGAGGCCACCAAGAAAGAGTCTGCAGAGGACGGCTATGGCAAACCACCTCTACTTCTCGCTTGCCTTCAGAGTCCTTTGCTGGGGTCACCATCAGTCGGCTATGACTCCACGGCACTTGAAGCATGCCCAGGGGAATAGAATGCTTAGGGTCAGTTGGGCCTCACGGGCATGGCAGTTGCCCTCCAGAAAATGCCAGAAGTGTGTGTGTGTGTATGTTACAGAATCAGCCTTGCTCTCAAGACAAGGACCCCCAATTGATTCGAAGGAAATTGGAACTGTTAAAAAATCATTTGCAACTCTAAATGGGAGCGGTTGATAGCAGGCAGCACTCCTGCAAAGGGGAAGGGGCTGAAACAGGGGAGCCATCTTTGCACATGAAGCAGAGAATTCAATAACTGGGATTTGCGTTAACATCCTCCTCTGCTGGAAAGAGGATCCATTATCACAGCAGGTGCCACGGTGAGAGGGAACTGTTGGGTCTTTTGGCTGCTTTGCTAAATTTAGTTGCGTTGAATCACTGGCAGGGAGCGGGAGAGAGAAGAGCAGGTGATGCGGCGAGCTCAGAACAGGCATCGCTGCCTCCCAAAAGATTTCTAAACGTTTTTACATGCGGCTGCCTTACCTTGTCCAATGTTGAGATATGAGCTGGGCCGCGACGGTGGGTGGGGGAACGACAACAGGAGGGCTGACTCGTGTGTCAGCCGCAAATAAACCCCCACATTAAGGTGTGAATAATTGAATGGTTTTGTCTTACCTCTGCATGTCAAAACCTACATTTCAAAAGCCTCCCTTGCAAGTTTTTGAGTTCACATTCCTGCATTGCCGTTAATGGTAAGTTTGCATTCTTTCCCATTTGCATGCTACGATTTTAATTCCAGGCTCCTCCCTGTCCCTTTGAATTTCAACATGCAAATTTTCAAAAGCCCACTGAAATTTCAGACTGCAGACGTTGGCTTCCAAAACATAACAAGCATGGACGCTGGAGGCTTGGCTTGTCTGCAGTTTTCTTTTGTCTTACAGCCCCTGGAAGATTCCTCAGTGACCCACCCCACCCGCGGCCCCGCCCTGCCCCAAACTCAGCCACACAAAATCCAAAAGAATGTAAAATAAAGTTTCCCTTTTATTTTAAACTGGGCAAATTCCAAACGCTTGTTAGTGTTGGGGGGGGGCTCTAACTAGGAACAAAGAGGCTGGTGGGGAGCAGGGGTGGCTCTGGGCCCCGACTGGACTCCCCTCTTCCTTCTCTTCTGGTCTCCGTGGGGCTTCCGGCAGCCATCCTCCGATCCTTCGGGTCTACCCAAGCTGAGAGCCTGGAGCAGGGCAGTTTCCTGCTTCGGGGGGGGGGAGACGACGACGACACCGTTCTTTTGTAGCTTGCCACCTGCTGACTCCCCCCACCTTCCGCTCTCTTTCCATTCATCCTTCCTTTCACTCGTTTGCTCTGTCCCTCCATTCATTCATGTTTTTGCACACGCACGCACGTTTGTGTATGGTGTTTCTGTTCTTTTGTTGTGTGTTTTGACTCGCTAAACCTCTCACCTGCTCTTTTCCGAAAGGGGTTGCTGTTTGCTGCAAAACAGAATCCTGTGACACTTGAAAGACTACCTCGTTTCTCCGTTGCATAAGGTCCGGTGGGCCAGAGTCTGTTTTGCTGTTCGCAGGCAGCGGTTTTCTCGATTGTTCGTTTGTTCATTCGTTCATCATTCGTCCCTCTCGCCTCACTGAGCTGCTCTCCTCTGTCCTAGTTCCCAATCGTGCCTCTTCTTTGATTTCATTCCTTTTCTCTGGTCCCCCTTTCTTTTTCTCTTTTTTTCCCACTCCTCATTCTTGCCTCTGTCCATGTCCCTTATATGTGACGACGGTGATGACTTTCCCGGCTCCTTTCCCCTTGCTCTCTTCCAGAGGCCCGGCAAGTTAAGTGAGTGAAGAAGAGACGCTGGTCAAAGGGCAGGGGGACGTGGTGATCGAGTGTGCTTCAGTTGCACTCTGATAAGAAATTGGGGGTGGGGGGGATCTGCTCTGTGTTAGTCAGATGGTGTGGATGTGGGTAGAGGGTCTCCTGGGGTGCATCTAGGGCTGGTATCCAGTCCGGTAGGGGGGTTCCACTTCTTCACTAGCACCGACGTAAGACGCTCGCATGCTGGGGGAATACTGCAGGGCAACGGAGAAGAGAAGTTGAGAGGTGAGCATCCAAATGACAGTATTACCATAGGAATTGGGAGACAAGAATCAATTTCGTCAGAGCCCTTCCACTGGCTGCGGCACGTGGCCTAATGGGTAGGGATAAAAACGGAGGCGGGTGCAGTGGGGTTGCCAACTCCAGTGTGGGAAACCCCTATAAATTTGGGGTGGAGCCTGAGGAGAGCAGCGTTTGGAGAGGGGAGAGACCTCGGTGGGACAGAATGCCCACAGAGACCACGCTCCAAAGCAGCCATTTTCTCCCAAGGAACTGATCGCTGTTGTAATTCTGGGAGATCTCCAGGCCCCACCTGAAGGCTGGCAACTATCAGATGCAGCCTGTGCATGTCCCTCCACCCTGCGAGGCCTGCCGTGGACATTCTGAACAGCTGCTCCCAGCCTCCTGTGGTTGCCCAGCTTGTTAAGCATCACTTAAAGCTGCCCCGCCATTTCTCTTTATAGGCTACGTGCTCATTAAACGTGAGATTTAATAGTTGTTCACTTCCATCTTCTGATTCTAACCACCCAGCCTTCTTTGCAACTGACAAGAAGAGCAACTCTGAAGGTGCAAGATTTCTTTCAACAAGGACTGCACCATGCCCCCCCCTTCAAGTTTATGTCCTTCTATTCTGCACAAGCCACAGAGGATGAAATTCCAGCTGGACCAGTTAAATTCAGGCTCCCCGCATTCCCTTTCTAACTGCATAGGTACAGGGATTTTCTCAAAATTACTCCCCCTCCCTTTGCAAATGCAACTTCTGGGATTGCTTAATCACAGAGGAGAACAACCCAGGGAATGAGGGACATTTTAACCTTTTTACCCCTGCCATTACCCCATCCCTCCCCCAGCTTGGCTAAAAGCAGTTCCGAGAGAGATAACTTTTTCCAACAAGAAAATAGCAGGCAAAGAAAGGGTTAAAATGTCCTTTCCCTCTT